ACCACAGACACTAGATCATTAACATACAACAAAAAAAGCAGGGGCCCCAGCACACTTCCCTGGGGCACACCTGATGCCACTGTTAGAGAAGAGGAACAAGTACCATCGATGTCTACAAATTGCGTTCGATCTTTCAAATATGAATTAACCCAATTTACAAGTATAGAAGGAATTCCTGCTTGTTTAAGTTTTAAAAGAAGGCTACCGTGAGGAACCCTGTCGAATGCCTTGCTTAAGTCTAAAAACAAAACATCAATTTGCCCGGAGTGATCTAAGATTAAACTAAAACTATGAACGGCGGTGACCAACTGCGTAACGGTAGAAAATCCCCTTCTAAAACCATGTTGGAAGGGACTCAATGTTTTATTTTTTTCCAGTACATTAAGAATATGGTTAGCTACAATATGTTCTATCATCTTGCAACAACAGCACGTTAAGGAAATTGGTCGATAATTGTCAACATGGAAACGGTCTCCTTTTTTAAAAATACACCGAGAAGAAATACACCGTTTAAGGTACACCGTCAGTTCCAATTCCACAAAGGGTACTAAAGAGTGGACCCTTCTTAGTAATAAAAATCTTCAACGACACAAGTTATGTTGGTAGTATGAGGGCTTTTGCTCTTTCGTCTTGGTGTAGTTTGTGGTTGCCCAGTACATCAATCATGGTCAAGAATTTAATTCTTATTTTCCCACCTAAAATGTATGGGCAGTGTATGACCAGCTGCTCCACAGTTGCGCAGTCGATCGTTTCATCGAGCATAAGAGCATAGTGCTTACTCTGACCAAGTTCGCGTAGGAATATATCTTCAATAACATCTGACAGGCAAGTGGCCATCTCCTGAATTGATCTCTGGCTACAGTACGTAGCGTTCTTACCGGCTGTTATTTGAGCTTTCACATCAAGGCCAAGCACAGACAGCGGCTCGAAGTTCGTTGTGCGCAGTATCCTGTGTTTGCACAATCACACATTGATGTGATTCACATTGATGCAAATGCTTGCCTCATGGCATTGCGGGAGACCGAGCGCTGCACTTTTTCCAGCGGCGACACAGCAACCTTGCTGTTTGCCTCAAGCATCATGTCACGGTGCGATGGGCACGCATTATGTTTACGAACATTGTTCAGCTGTATTCTTTTGCATGGTTCTCCAATCCGTATAAAATTTTCTAAAGCCCTCTTGCTGTATTTTATGCAAAGATTGCAAAACATTCCACCTTTGCTGTTGTCGTAAAAAAGCCAGGGATGGTCACGTATCCAAGATGCGTTGAAGAGTGCTGCCTGCTTGCCGGCTTCGCAAGCATTCGGCTCATCACATAATGCTTCAACACTTGAGGTCGAACAGCCGCCACCGTGCGCACTGGATTTAAGTCCTTGCGAAGCATGTGATGTCAGGGCCTCAACAGCGTCCACATCAAGTACTTCCGGCTGCATGTTTTTTTTTTTTTTGCGGATCACTATTAGGCACTTCTTCGATAGTTTTTCGAGAGAAAAAAAACAGCAGAGATGGCTGTGCCGCCTTTCTTGCAGCCCTTTCCCGTGCACTGGATGAACCAGTTGAACAGTCTAAATGACTACAAATTCCATGAGGCTTCAGCAGGCTTTTGTTAGCGCGTTAGAAGAACACCAAGAACACCTACTTACCATCTCGTTTGCTTGGATTGAATTGGATTTACAAAGTGGAAAGTTCGCACAATCAGTGGTGCCACACCATAAATGCTTTAAAAATGTACATACGATGTGCATCTAGGCGCTGTACTAGTGATAATGTTGCAGAAATAAGAAAACGCAGCTTATTGAGAAAACAATAAATAAAGTTCAGGAAGAAATCAGCCAGCGACAAGGTTGCGATTAGAGGTCCTCAACAACGACGAGAGAAGAGCTCGCACAAGCAGTACGATCAGTATCAGAGCGCTGATTGCTGTTTTTCTGTGCCTATGTAGCCAAGCCAACGCCAAGTGAGCCAAGCTTAGGCAGGAAAGGGAGGGAGGTTGTCTCTCTTCACCTTATCGCTACTATCATCGTGCGCTTTCCATACAATGAGCGTGTTCTTTGACCATCACTTCAGTTGCTGACGGGTTCGTTCATTAAACGTTTCCTTCTCAGCCTGCATTTTCGGTTTGTGGCTTGCGGAAGCCGGCATCTCACACTCGTAGCTTCCAGTTTTTCCGAGTACAGCTAGCTTTAACAACGGGAGGTGGGTTGGGTGGGATCGAACGGCTGGCTGAAAAGGTGGATGGGCAGCCGGAAAGGTGGACAGGAAAACCACCGCCGACCACTGTGGTGAGAACCCTGGGCATCACCTAAGTGAAAAGGGCTTTCTCTTGAGGAAAACTTGAACTTACTTAAAGCAATTGACAAGCAGCCAGCGCGAAAAAGGGTCGACATTGCGTAAGACCTCAGATTGCCACCGTCAACGCTCACGGTGTCTTGAAGTTTCCCAAGATTGAAGGGGATGTCGCTCTCTTCGGCCCGAAAGGCAAGCAAGCTCGCGGCAACAAAAACAGGAACCTCTGCGAGCCTCTCTTCACCCTGTTCAAGCAAACTCACGCTGCCAGTATCAACTTCGACGGCTGCATTTTACGCAATACGATGATGGAAATAGCCGATTGGGCACCGCTGACTTTGCAGCGTCCAGTGGCTGGATCGACTGTTTCTGCAAGAGGCATGGCATCGCTTACTAAACGGTAAGTGGAGAAGCGGCAAGTGTGAACGTGGAAACAGCCGATGATTGAAAGCCCACATTATCTGCTTTAATTGAGGGCTACAAGTCTCATGGCATTGACAATGCTGACGAGACAGGCCTCTTCTTTCGTGTCCAGCCATCGAAATCGTTAAACCTGAAGGGCAAGGCATGCCACGAAGGCAAACACAGGAAAGATCAGCTCAAGGTGCTCTTTTGCTTCAATATAGATGCTTGGACGTACTAATCTCATAGGTGATTGGCAAGTTTAAAAACCTACGGTGCTTTAAAACATTCACCTGCTGCCATGCCACTACAGAAGTCTTGTGTGGATGACGTGCCCTTTGTTTGAAGAGTTTCTTCGATACTTCAATAAAAGATGGGTTCACAGTGCAGGATGGTGAGGGTTCACCTTTTCCTAGACAATTGTGCTGCCTGCCTGAGACATGTGTCATTTCTACAAAATGTCAAACTTGTTTCTTTCCACTAAATACGACAAGCCACTTCCAGCCGTTGGATGCTGGGGTCATAAAATGTGTGAGGCATTCGTACAGAAAAAGCATCGTCATGCGCTGTCTCACATTTGATCGTGGACAGCAGCTTACGACACTTTCGGCACTCCACACCTCGCATCAGCGTGGAGTGCAGTAAGCGCGTCAACTATACAGCACTGCTTCGTTAGTTGTGAGTTCCGTATAGACAGCAAAGGGGAGCCTGTCATCGAAGCTCAACAATCGGAAGCAGCCTCTTGTTAGGAAGAGCCCAGTAATGGAATGAATGCGCTGGGTGCCACGGGTACGATGTACGACGACTACGTCGCTATGGATGCTGTGGTCGTGCCGTCAGAGTGCCAGACAATAGCAGAGATCATTGCAAGCTCGACCGCAAAATAGACAGGGACATCGATGTTCACAACGAGCACAAGCTACACGATTCTGAAAAGTTGGCAGTGGAGTCGGCCGATCTCAGTTTTGGAGAAGTCGTCGTGGCCCTGGACTATCTTCGCAGGTACGTTGCTCACCAAAGCGACGCTGAAAGCAATGCAACCTTTCAGAATAATGAGAAATGGCATGGTGCTTAGCAGCAAGTGAAAAAAGCGGCAGCCAACTATCTTCGTATATTTCAAGTCTTAGGCTCAGCTTGCCAAAATAAATTGTTTGTTGTCAAAAAGCACCTGTGCTCTTATTCATTTTCGGAGGTTTCCTCACCCTTGCGTTTTCTTTGTTGTTATATCGTTCTTACCCGGTTCGCTTAAAGACGTATGAACGAGGCTCCACTGTAGATCATACGATGTATTAGGGCTTTGCTCACTGCAGACAATATTCCAGTTGATACTTTCAATACCATCACAAAATGTTGACAAGGCATTGGCATTGACAGAGGGATATGTAAGAGGAGCATCATTTACACTTTTACTTCTTTTTTAGTTGCAATAAAAGGCAATGTTGACAAATTATCACATAGATCAGTTGTTAGCACATCAGCAGTGACGTCGCTACGACCATAATTAGTTATACATAGGTTAGCAAAGTTTCACTTTCTGTTGTTATTCTAGTTGGCAGATTTATTAAGTTCATACACAAATATGATTCAATTACATCTAAAAATTGTTTGCGTTGATCATTTTCGTGCGAGCAGTGTGCTAAACGTTTCGATCTGCTTGTAATTCTTCGTATGGCATTCCAATTTGTTGCTATGGTTACGTCACCCTTGTGGCGATACTCTGACTTTTTTTTTTTATTAAAGTTGACACTGCACACCTTTTCAAAGCTTGTGCGAATTTCTCAATGTTATCACCTGTTGTAATAATGCTCATTTTAATGCTAGTAATGCAAAAATATGTAAACAAGTGTTTTATTGCAATATATTTCTAATTTGTTATATTATGCAGAGACAGATTAGTAAGGAATGCATTATTAATTTCAATTTTTTCATATCATTAAGAATGACCTGCTGCAGTCACTACAAGATTTCAATTGCCACATGTAAAAAGAATGTATAATATTTGAATGTAAAACTGTTTGGGTGCTCATAATTGTGCTTAAGTTTTCATTACATGTCTGACTTTACAGAATTATTCCACTTTTTAAACTTATCGAGGCCAGTAAATTTCAACCAATTCAATGACCACTTTCTTTCAATACTATGTTTATTGCATTAAACTATACCTTTTTTATGGTTGTATGTCTATTGCCTGTTTTAGTTGTGATTCACACATCACTGCTTTTCTTTGCCATCTTAGACAACAGGTGGGTGACTGATTTTTCTTGGCCCTGCAAAGTTGAGTGACTCCATGCTTGCATCTTTTGTCTTTTCAGTCTTTTATGGCCCCACACGACATTGCATGTTCTAAGGACATAGAGCAGGTGTACGTGGGTGAAATCGGTCCCAACCGCCTGTGGCGATTTGTCCGAGGTGAGTGCAGTTCAGCAGGCAGCTAGACACTTTCCCAGGCTGTGTGTTTGTCACAAACCAGCATGCACTTTTTATGGTGTGGCTTGTTGCAGAGATGCACCGCAGTAGCAAGAAAGTGCTGGTCGACGTACCTCCACCAGCGGTACCTAGCACGACGCCCCCTTCGACATCGCGAGGAGAATCGAGCTCCAGCAAGTTGCCTACCTCGGCTGGTGAAGAGGACAACTTTGGCTTCTCCATGGTGGTGGTTGCACTGCTGGCCATCCCCATCCTTTCTTTTCTCATCATCACCCTTATTGTGCGACTCAAGCGCAGGAAAGGTGAGTAACAGTGCTTGAGCAAATGGCTGGGGCTAGTGATGTGCAATCAAGTGCTTGGAATGATGGCAGAACAATTTAGATCCCTTACAAATTAAGAAAAGGTTGTTGCAGCTATTGTACTTGATTTGTGTGGGTAAAATTTCTTCTTATGTTGAATATGAAAACAAGAGAGTACTCCAACGGTTTTTTCAGTAGGGCAGAGGCTGTTTGCACCAGCCATCATAGATTGCTTAAACGGAGCACAAGTTTATATTGTGGTGTATGATTTGACGACGTGAATGAATAGAAAGCCTTCTGCATCTGATTGGCAAGTGTTCCACCATTGTGCCCAGTCCCCTAATTTTGAACTGGCTGTCATTCTCATTCACTGTCAATGAATTGTAACAACTGTGGCGAAGGCGGCAACCGGAAGGCTGAGAGATGGTGCCACAGTTGGTGCTGGCGCCGCCGTCATCATCATCAAGAGGATGGATGGGGGCGGCCTGGGCTATGGAGTGGGAAATAAGGCGTGTGTTCGATGAGACGTGTTGTGCATGCTTCCTCCCTGAAAAGTGGGGGCTCATCTGGGATCAAATGGATCACGTAGTCGTTCAGAAGGAAGTAGCGCAATATTTCATCGTCAAACAGGTGGATCAATGATTTAGCTCGAGCAAGTCGCCTCCCTGCTGCAGTAACGTGTGGTGATCGCCCCAACCACGGCCGCGCCGTTAAGCCTAGGCATGCAATTGTCCGCGCCGCAACCCTCGCAGCAGCCTGTCATGACATCCTTGCCGCTCGCAAAACCGCCGAAGTTCTCGGCCTTCAACGACCTGCTGTCACCGAAGGCTTTTTTGGAACGTTCGGACAATTTTTGTCTTGTGTCTGGGATCGAGGAGGCGAATAGGCTTAGCAACGTGGTGTCGGCTGCATTGAAGGGCAGCGCTAAGCTTTTGTGGCAGTTCATCGGCGCTTTTGCCTCGTAGGATGAATTCGCACAAGCTTTCTATGCGGAGTTCACTTCCATCAACTCAAAACGCAACTTAAAAGAGGAGCTTGAGCAGCAAATGCACCACCCTGAGGAGAACTTATAAGAATTTATATACGTGATATCGGAGTACTACGATCGTATCAGAGAGCCAATGACTGATGAAGAAAAGGTGCAGCGGTTCTCCGCCAAATGCATCCACAGCTGCAACACCTGGCTGAAGGGTCTTCATTTACGAACCTGAAGGAGCTCATCGCAGTGGCAGATGGTTTGATGCAGAAAGCGTGGTGGTGCTGGCAGTATAAACTACTGCCACCGCCAGCAACACAGGTCACAAGGGACCTGGAATTCCGACCACACGTGGGCCGCTAACGCTCTCAGACTGCGACCAATGACGGCTGCTGTGGGTACTAAGTCTACCGTATTGGCCTCGCCATACCGCTGGCCACTACACCCTGCAGCGGTTCAAGCGTCATATGCCCGGGTGCCGCGATGGCGTAGTGGTTAGAGCATTTGCCTCGCATGCAAGAGGACCGTGGTTCAAATCCCGGTGCCGCGCAGTTCCCAACCGGAAAAAAAATATCCGCGTGCTGATGGAACTGTATTAAGAGGCCTGGGGTGCGGCCTCACCGGTAACCACCGCCGGGAACGCACTCCCTCACCAGAGAAGGATTGTTCACCCTGGTGCAGTATCTGGCCACTACCTCCCACATGCATACGTCAAATAACTCACGGCCCTCAGTCCTCAGCAGCTGCGAAGCAACTGACCATGGCGGCGGTCAGATCTGCAACGCAGCAGAGGGTGCTAAGAATCTCTGGACTACAGGCCGCCATTGGAACCTGAACTTGGCAACGTTTAACGCTAGAACCTTATCTAGTGAGGGAAGTCTAGCCGTACTATTCGAGGAGCTAGAGGGTGTTAAATGGGATATAATAGGGCTCAGTGAGGTTGGGAGGACAGGTGAGGCCTATACTGTGCTACAGAATGGGCACGTCCTTTGCTATCGGGGCTTGGCAGACAGAAGAGAACTGGGAGTGGGGTTCCTAATTCACAGAAACATAGCTGGCAACATAGAGGAATACTATAACATTAATGAAAGGGTGGTAGGTATTGTAATTAAACTGAATAAAAGATACAAGAAGAAGGTAGTACAGGCTTACGCATCTACATCCAGCCATGATGACGCTTCAGTTGAAAGCTTCTGTGAAGATGTGGAATCGGCAATGAGTAGGGTAAAAACACAGTATACTATAGTGATGGGCGACTTTAATGCAAAGGTAAGGAAGAAGCAGGCTGGAGACCAAGCAGTAGGAGATTATGGCATCGGCACTAGAAACGCCAGAGGAGAGCTACTAGTAGAACTCGCAGAATGCAATAATTTGCGGATTTTGAATACCTCCTACCGAAAATGAGAAAACCGCAAGTGGACATGGAGGAGCCCTAATGGCGAAAATAAGAACGAAATCGACTTTATAATGACTGCACACCCAGGAATCGTGCAGGATGTGGAAGTGGTTGGCAAAGTACGATGCAATGACCATAGAATGGTACGGTCTCGAATTCGCCTAGACTTGAAGAAGGAACAACAGAAACTGATACGCAAGAAGCCAATCAATGAGCTAGCACTGTGAGGGAAAGTACAGGAATTCAGAGTGTCGCTGCAGAACAGGCACTCGGCTCTTAGTGAGGAAACCAACCTTAGCGTAGATACAATGAATGATAATCTGACGAGTATCATTAGGGAGTGTGCAGTGGAAGTTGGAGGCAGAGTAGTTAGACAGCACACTGGCAAGCTTTCCCAGGAAACGAAGAACCTAATTAAGAAGCGTCAAATCATGAAAGTGTCAAGTACAACAGACAAAATAGAACTGGCAGAGCTTTCGAAGTTGATTAATAGACGAAATTATGCGATGTAAGAAGGTATAACATGGAGAGAATTGAACACGCTCTGAAAAACGGAGGAAGCGTCAAAGCAGTGAAGAGGAAACTTAGGATAGGCAAAAGTCGGATGTATGCGCTAAGGGACAAAGAAGGCAAAATAACTACCAATATGGATAGGATAGTTAAAATAGCGGAGGAGTTTTACAGAGATCTGTACAGTAGCCGAGACAACCACGACCTTAATACTATAAGAACTAGCAGTAACCCAGATGACACCCCACCAGTAATGATAGAAGTCAGAAAAGCTTTGGAGAGCATGCAAAGAGGCAAAGCTGCTGGTGAGGATCAGGTAACATCAGATCTGCTGAAAGATGGAGGACAGATTGTGTTAGAAAAACTAGCCGCCCTGTTTACGAGGTGTCTTCTGACGGGAAGGGTACCAGAGTCTTGGAAGAACGCTAACATCATCTTAATACATAAGAAAGGAGATGACAAGGACTTGAAGAATTACAGGCCGATCAGCTTGCTCTCTGTAGTATACAAGCTATTTACAAAGGTAGAGTAAAGAAAACATTAGAATTCAATCAACCAAAGGAACAAGCAGGATTTCGAACAGGCTACCCAACAATTGACCACATTCATACTATCACTCAGGTAATAGAGAAATGCTCAAAGGATAACCAACCACTATACATAGCCTTCATAGATTACGAGAAGGCGTTTGATTCAGTAGAAATATCAGCCGTCATGCAGACACTGCGGAATCAGGGCGTAGATGAAGTATATATAAACATTCTGGAAGAAATCTAAAGGGGATCAACTACTACCATAGTGCTTCATAAAGAAAGCAACAGAATACCAATCAAGAAGGGTGTAAGGCATGGGGACACAATCTCCCCAATGCTATTTACCGCGTGCGTACAGGAGGTTTTCAGAAGCCTAGAATGGGAACAGTTAGGGATAAGAGTTAATGGAGAATACCTTAGTAACTTGCGCTTCGCCGCTGACATTGCATTGCTGATTAACTCAGGGGACGAATTGCAATTCATGATTACGGAGTTAGACAAGGAGAGCAGAAAGGTGGGTCTTAAAATTAATCTGCAGAGAACGAAAGTAATGTACAACAACCTCGGAAAGGAGCAGCGCTTCGAGATAGGTAATAGTGCACTTGAAGTTGTAAAAGACTATGTCTACTAAGGGCAGGTAATAATCGCAGAGCCTAACCACGGGATTGAAGTAACTAGAAGAATAAGAATGGGGTGGAGCACATTCGGCAAGCACTCTCAAATTATGACAGGTAGATTGCCACTATCCCTCAAGAGGAAGGTATATAACAGCTGTATCTTGCCGGTACTTAGCTACGGAGCAGAAACCTGGAGACTTACAAAGAGGGTTCAGCTTAAATTGAGGACGACGCAGCAAGCAATGGAAAGAAAAATGGTAGGTGTAACCTTAAGAGACAAGAAGAGAGCAGAGTGGATTAGGGGACAAACGGGGGTTAAGGATATCATAGTTGAAATAAAGAAGAGGAAATGGACATGGGCCGGGCATGTAGCGCGTAGACAGGATAATCGCTGGTCATTAAGGGTAACTAACTGGATTCCCAGAGAAGGGAAGCGGGTTAGAGGGAGACAGAAGGTTAGGTGGGCAGATGAGGTTAAGAAGTTTGCGGGTATAAATTGGCAGCAGCAAGCACAGGACCGGGTTGACTGGCGGAATGTGGGAGAGGCCTTTGTCCTGCAGTGGACGTAGTCAGGCTGATGATGATGATGATGCCCACGATCAATTATATCTGGCCTCTACCGTCTCTACACCGACGCAGCCGCTAGCCTACCCCTTGCCACCGGCCGCTCGTTGGCAGCGGTCCAACTCACGACAGGTCCACTGCCTGTGCTGCGGAGGGATTGGCCATGTTGTCCGCCAGTGCGCCACGGCCAGGCAAAATGTGCCGCCCACGTGTTTATACTGTGATCTACCGGGACATATGCGGGCTGAATGCTTAGACTATGGGACTATGAGTCTCTGGGAAATGGACGTTGGTAGATGCTGTGCCGGCGAGCATCTACGACAGTGGGCTCCAGCTTGCGACTGCTGCTGGCCGAAAGGAACCCCTGCTGGATATCCGCATCAGAGCGACGACGTTCCAGGCGCTCT